AGCCGTTGTTCCTAATCCCTCCGTCCGCTGGCACTTTTCCACCGTACCGCCTCCATGACCAGCCTCTGCAGCTCTACGCGCCACCTGTTGGGCTCGTCAAGCTCTCGGTCCAATCCCCAGTGAGGCCCCTCCCTCACTTCCTTCTTCTTTACATTTTCCTTCGGTCCCTGACGCGTGAGGCCTTCTTTCGGCTTTTCTTTACTCTGCTGCCGAATAGGTGCTCCCTTTTCATGACCTAGGCGGCCTTCATTCGGCTCCTCGCTCGTATCCTTTTCCGTTGGTTGTCAAGCAGGCACTCCTGCTTCCCGAGGCGTGAGACCTTCGTTTGGCTCTTCTCTTGCCTCAGGCCCCGCGACCGGCGCCGTCACCGTTTCAAGGACCAGCTCTGCCTTGTCGCAGCGTATTGTAGTGCCCATTGCACCCAAGAAATTCATCCCTTGGCTGACGTGGTCTAGCATCGAGGGCATGATGAGCATCTACATACTGATAACCTTCGCCGCTAGTCCGACCTCTGACCTCAATACCAGACGAATGAGCGCCTGCACGTCCTCTGCTCTTCCCCGAATCACCCACTTGTGTGCGCAATCTTCACTCATGAAGCTGCTATTGGCTCCGGTATCGATGGTAGCAGGCATCGTTCGCCCGCCGATCTCCACCGTAGCGACGATCCGGCCACCTTCCACGTTCAGTGGGTGTCGTGTCCGTTTGTATCGGCGCCGATCCTGTCCTGGGCGACGCCGTTGCCCGTTTCCCGCCTCCGTGCGGCGAAAACAATCTTGGCTACTCCTGCCCTGGTTCCCACATACCCCACAGAACAAGTCGGGTGCGTTGGGACATTCCCTGGCAAAGTGCCCCTCCTGTGCGCACCTACGACATACTTATTTAGGGGCCGTTGCTGGCGGGGCGGAGACCCGTTTATCCACACCGGTCGCTCTGGGTCCGATGGGAGTATACCGGAATGGGTTAAGGTGTCCCCCCGTCTTGCGTTCTCGTATATCCGGTGGAACTCTTGAGCCGGCTCATATCTGGCATGACGCATCAAAGCACTCAACTCTATTAAGTACTCCTCCCCCCACGCGTTGCCTGCGGGACCGGATTTCGTCCTCAAGCTTTTCGAAATAACGCGGCGGCAGGAAGAACTCCAAGAAACCCCTTCTAAACACTTAGTCCACTACTCAAGAACAAACGAGCGGCCCTGTCGCAGAACACCTCACTCATTGCCCGATCCATACCATACGTAATGGCGCGTTCCTCTAGGTCCCTAGGAACCCAAGGACGTCGGAGTGGCCAGCGTATCTCATACCCGACTTCCGGACTTTTTCCGGCACGTTCGCGAAGGACCTAACCTTTGACTGGGAATATGGCCTGGGATTGTAGGGAACACTACCCGGCTCGGCAGGGGTCCGCCTGACCTCTACGTCGATCAGTGCTGTTCGGCGGGCTTCATCTCTCCTGAAGTCATGAGCCTCCCCTTCCTTTTCCAGCCCGAACTCATGGGCGATCGCTACCAGTTCCACCTTGCGCCGCTGGTGGATCCAGCGCACGCCTACCCCCGGATTTTGGAACTCACCCGAATCCATTTTGATTTCTTATCACTCAATCTAGGTGCCCGCTTCGACTTCTCTCTTTTGTGGACTCTAGCTCGATTTCGTGTTGGTGGGTGGGCAATTCTCGTTCCGTAGGTTTATTTATCATACTTTTATCTTAGTCTTTCCGCATGATTATTTATTTATTACCATATATATAGGCATATTCTTCTTTAAATTTATTTATTTTATTATTTCTTTGTCGTAGTTTTTTTTTTTATTTTCTTTTCCGTCTATTTAACAAAACTTAAAAAAGAAACCCAAAAAAATAATAATAAACGAAACGCACTTAATGTTCTTTTAAATTGTAACCATCCTTCACTTTTGTCTTTGCCTTTGTTTCTTATTATATTTCTTTTCCTATTATTATTTTTATTTTTGTTTTTTACGGTCACTCCACAAAAAATAACATAACAAAATAATTCACATGATGTTCTTTTAACATTTAATCTTCGTCCATTTAACTTGTTTTGTGATTGTCTGTTCTTATTGTTCAGTTCGTTTTATTTATTATTAAACGCACCCGTTCTCATTGCTTTCGCCAACTGTACTTACGAATTCAACTTTTTAACGCGCGTGAGTTGAATACGTCCCACTGTACAGCCGCTGTCGCCTTAACGGCTCTTCGACGCTGATGTCGACTGCGCGCGCGTTTGTGCACATGTGTGCAAGCGTGGTCTCGACGTCGCCCGTCTGGCGCGCGCGCGCTGTACTTTTCGAACGACCGTTATCTTTCTGTTCTCGGCTTTGTGTGCTCGATTTTGCACACATTTCTGGTTGCCTAAATCATACAGGTGTTCATTTTATTGCCTAACACAGGCTATGAAAATACCTTTGTTAGGGTGTGTCCGACTACCTAATACCCTAGATTTATATCTTGCCCTTATGATGTACTATTTTTTTCCCTTTTCCTCTGCTAGGGTACATAAACTTTAGGGTATGCCCGACTAAAAAACCCTTTATACACCTCATCATCTCATATGTCCCTTATTTTTCGAAAACACTTATTTGGACATACTTGCGGGGCTTTAATCCACAACTATGCCGCGCCCCTAATCGCCTCCTAGGTCCCGAACCACACATACACGGCCGAGATTACTCACGCGGACGGCGGGCTAAGCCTCGATTCATACATACACGGCCGGGATTGCTCACGCGGTCGGCGGCCTAAGCCTCGAGTCAGACACACAGCACACTCTAAGTCTCGTTTTTCTTTCTCTACCTTGATACGCGTGTACTCACCCTGACGCTCGATCACAAAGTGCCGGCACGCTCGCAGGCGAGCCGTGCGCTTGCCTCGGCCACGAGCTTTCGCAACTTTGCCTCGGAGCTTTCGCTCTTCACCGCCGAATTGAAGTTTTGCTCTCGAAGACGGGGTTGAGCAACCGATCGGCAACGCAGGGTTGCTGCGGTGGCCGGCGGTTAAATTCTAACTTAAATTATGCGGGGTTCCTTGCCCTTAACAATATGCTCATTCTAACGAACGAAGTAAACTATTCGCTTAACTGCTCCTTGCCTTTAATTAGTAATGCTCTTAATCTGATACTGCTTACAACTAACAAAATGAACTATTACATTAACGGCTCCTTGCCTCTTACTTAAATAAGCTCTTATTCTACTACAGTTAATGCTTACAAACCAACAAAACTATTAAATTATAACACCAACGGCTCCCTGTCGTGACTTGGGTCATAAACATAACAGCTCCTTGCCGTGGATCTAAACTGTGGGGTGGCTGATCCAAGTAGCCACCTCACAGTTTACTAAAACATTTAAAAAAAATATTATAGCAAGAAGAATGGAATTCTCGGCCAAAGTCAATTCTGCCAAAGGCTTAAAACAAAAGCTGGTATAAATAAGATTAGACTGCTTAAAGTGGCACCGAACGAAAATATCTTTGAAAACACTTCAATAGATACTTTCAAAAATATGAGCAGTATATATTTAAAGAACTTAAGAGTAGCGCTAGTCAGGCCGGGGACCCAAATAAATACAGATAAAGAAAAAGAACCAAAATTGTCTACATTCCATGATGAACCCATTCAAGGAGGTCATAGAGGCATTTAAAAAACATAAGCAAAAACAAGTATGAGTGCTCTAGTCGGGGGTGCCCGATTAGAAAATACCCTGAACCTATAAATACTTTTAAATATAAATATAGGGTATATATTTACTTATTTATATTCATAAAATAATTCCAAAGTTAATATTAAACATATTTGAATTATTTAGACATATATATAGAAACTTACTTTACCCTATCCTGAACACTTAGAGAGATACCACTGTGGTAACTATACACTGTCTCGAGTGTCCTAGCGCTAACTTCCTCACTGGAGAGATTTGAAAAAGCCCAATCAATGTGAGAGTCATAATTGGTAGTGGGCGTTTTCAAATCTGATAGACCCTTAAATCCCTTCCTGAGCAATTCATCGTAAAGGCTCCTACATTTATCAAATTTGCTCAGGCATATTTTAAAATCTCCTAAAATTATGCAACTTTCCCTTAAAAATGAATGTTGCTGAAATAAATCCACAAACTCTGTTTTAAACAAACCAAGCGGATATAACGGACTTTTGTAAATCACAAAAAAACGTACAGACTTATAACAAAATATTGCATTCTGAATAAATCGTAAGGGTTTTAACGGATAAATATCCAAAGAAATTTCAATAAGTTAATCAATTTAATTGTTGAACGCCGTTTAGGAAAATCTGCCGACCGATATCTCTTTGAAATGATCGCCGACTATGGTTGCCATCACGCGCCCCGTTATCCATTTTTGGGGTGGTGTATTGTCCTCGTGTACCAGAACGAGGCATTATACTTCCAAGTTGGGCATGGCTATGCCACAAACTAAGAATGGGCGAGCTTCACGCAGTCGGTCAGCTGGTAAATTGCATATAATCTTGTACCGGTAGCAGTGCACGCATCCTTTAACAAGTTTGATGCATGCTTCTCGAGCATTAATAGGCCAGATTTGCTGTCGTAGAATTGAGACCATAACTTTGACGCCGGCATGGTAATTCTTTATGTGGATGTTTCGAAGAAACAATTCGACGATTAGATTTTCGAGACAGCAGTATGGGAAACTTAGCATCATATGGAATGGGTGTCTTTAGCAATCTTCCACCAAATCGAATGATTTTGAAATTGGTTTCTTTTTCTACAATTGCATAAACGAATGGGTTCAAAATTTGAAGATGATGCTAATGTTTTTGATTTTTCTACATTTGCACCACTTGTACCAATTTAAGAAAGGCGAGTCGCAGCTCCTGTGGTGATAAAACTGATTCGCGACTACGTTTTTTCGCTTGGAAAAAACGGTTGATGTATGCCGTGACGCGCACTAATTTATTGAACGATGAGCACCGCTCGCTCAGCTTCAAGATATCATTGTTCTGTAATGCTACAGAATGCCCTGTAACTGTCTTCTTGTTATCAGATGATTACATTTCTAGTGATATTTCAAATTGATACAGTTGCGACCATTTACTTGGGACTTGTCATAAAAATTCAGGACCATTAAACCAGAGCGGACAAACCAAATCGTCTACATTTGTGACCCTAGAAACAAATTCAGCTGGATTTGCTTCTGACGGCGCATAACGCCAGTAAACACCAACAGAAAGTTCTTGTATATCTGCTACTCTGTTGGCTACGAAAGTTGTAAATGAGCTGGGGTCTCTTTTAAGCCAGTGAAGGGTGACTTGAGAGTCTGACCAAAAATTAAATTGCCAACAGATGATCAGCGCATAATTCCAGTTGTGGAATCGATTTTGTTTTAAGGTAGGCCACACGAGACTTTGCTGTAAATAACTTCGCAACTACTTTCCCCATATCGTGGGTGCGCAAATAGATGCAACAGCCATAGGCATGGCTAGAAGCATCCGTAAATCCATGAATTTGTACGTTGTGGTATCTGGATTGGAAAAATATCGAGGAATGGAAATTTTATGTAATTCTAATAGGGTTTGTTTAAATTTTTCCCAGGTTGTGTGTAGACTTATGGGAATAGCTTCGTCCCAATCCAACTTCATCCGCCAAAAGTCCTGGAGTAAAATTAATGTTTTAGTAATCAAAGGACACAATAATCCTAACGGATTAAACAATCGAGATGCAACTGAGATAATATTGCGCTTAGTTGGCTTTAAAGAATTATATGAGTTCTCAAGAGAATCATTGAATGCATCAGTTTTGGGATTCGACCTCATTCCAAGAGTTTTGACAGATGCCAAAGGATGAAATTCTAGCGACTTTTCTTCACTATTTCCAGTCAGCAAACTTTTGTAATAATCTCGAGCTCTTTTAAACTATTTGCTCCTGTTATCATGTCATCCGCATAAAAATCGTTTTTGATGACGTGAGAAGCAATTGGGTGAGATTCTGCGTTGAGTTCTGCTAGTTCAAAAAGGCAACGTACGGCCAAAAAGGGAGCGGAGGCAGTGCCGTAAGTCACAGTGTTGAGTTGAAATGTCTGTAAACTTACTGATCTATATTGCCTCCATACAATTAACTGAAACTTTCGATACTCCTTAGCTGTAGGCTGTGAAAACATATTTATGCAACCGAAATCTTGCAAGGGTTAAATATAGCTGCCTCTGAATAATTGAACATATCATCAAAGTCTCGTTTAGTGAGATTGACGTCGACGTCTTGCTTGACGCATCGCAAATTGGTGGTTATACTATCAGGACGCAGGACGCGTTGATGGGGAATGTAATAATGCAGTCCTGGAGCAGTTGACGTAAGCGGTGAGAGGTCACGATTTTCTTTCATAAAACGTTATACATATTTCGCAGTACGTCATCCTTTTCAAGTCTGCGCTCTCAAGCCAAAAACCGACGTTTTGCCGACTCAAAAGATAATCGCAATACTTTTGGACTCGCACATACTGTTTAAGATTTCGTTCACATTCAATTTGTTGGCTGTATATGCAGCCTTCGACTTCTCTGGGATCTGTTCTAATTCCCAAAATCGTTGTGCTAGAGTGCCGAGACAACTATTGCCACTATCAATTGCGACAGTGCTAACTAGTGCTTGCGGTGATGTGCCTTGCGAATATTTTCCTGACACAATCCAACCTAACACTGTTTTTTGAATCGTTGGATGTTCAGGAGACATCTTTATTTGGCTAACACAAAGTGGGTCGAAAAACTTTTCAGCACCTAACAGTAAGTCTACTCTCGCAGGTTTGTGGAATCGAGGGTCGGCCAGTTCAATATTTGGAGGTATAGTCCACTGTGAGGAGTGAATCTTCTGATCAGGTTGGTATGTAGAGATAGAACTCAGAATCCAAAAATTAGCCCCAAAAGTATGAGAATTCAAGCGCGATTGAAACGATGTATGGACTTTGTGTTTGTTGGTCGATGCAGTGATACCCACTGGGGCAATTTTAAATGACGCATCTTCACGACGTAGACGTAAGCGTTGTGCTAAGTCCTCTTACATAAAGTTTATTTGAGATCCGGAATCTAAAAGCGCTCTCGCGGGCTGGAAATGCCCAAATCTATCTTTTAACTTTACTACAGCTGTGGCTAGGATTACTTGTTCGGCACTAAGAACATGAGTTACATAAGCGTGTTGCTGTGGAGAAGCTGTGGCGGAACTAGAGTCTTGCGTTTGCAACTTCTCGCTCTCATACCTGTGAAGTACAGTGTGGTGTGTCTTTGAACACAATCGACATTTCGATCTTCCATTTTTTTTTATTGCATGCCCCTGTTTTAAACAGTTGATGCACTAGTTGTGTTGTTTCACAAACCCAAAACGTTGATAAACAGGTAGAGCGCTAAACGATTGACAGTTTGCGAAACTATGATCAGTGACTGAACAATAGCTGCACTTGGTAACTGCTTTCTGATCACCCTTAGAGCACGAAAACGATGACCCGATATGTCCCTTATTAGCCTCTAGCTTTGGTTTCGTTTTGCCCCTAGTTGACTCTTCGGCAGCTAAATGTTGATAGAGCCGATTCAATTTAGCAGCGCAATCTGACCACGATGGCAAGCTTTCATAGTCAAGCTGTTCTTCGAATCGAGATTTTGTTAACTGGTCTACTTTTGACATTGCTATTATCATTGCACTTGCAATATTCTTGTCATCGCCTAGAGACTGCAGAGACGAATACAATGCCGATATGGTATCTACAAGACCTCTAAGACTTGAGGCTGAAGGTTTTGTCATGTGAGGAATTTCAAAGAGTTGAGTTGCATGGTTTAAAAAAATATAGGGCAATTGTTTATCATAAGCAGCCATAAAACTTGCTAAAGCCTTTTCATAATTGCAGTCTATGATTTGAAATGCCTTTACTGTTCCTAAGGCCTCATCAGACAAGCAAGAACTTAAATGGTTAAATTTCTCGACATTGGACATTGTGGAATCATTGTGCACCAGACTTTCAAAAAGACAAATAAAGTTTTTGAATTCTGCATGCTTTCCACTGAACTTTGGCAAACACATTTTGGGTAATTGTGTCATATGATGTTGACTGAATGACGCTGATAAACCGTGATGACTGGGACGTTGTTCCTTCTTATTGGCCGATAAATATAAAGCCTTGTAGAAATACACACATCTACCACTGTTGCACTAGAATCTTTGCTAGGGTTCAATATATCGACTTCAGCTTGTATATCCATTATCTTTTCAATATACCCTTCTAGTAACTCCAGTCGATATTAAAGTTGTATCGAATCAAATGAAATTGTTTTTTCTTCAAAAGCGGTCCCTAACCGCTTAATATCTCCTAGAACTTTATCCTGCTTTTGCAAAGTCGCTATTAATTTCGACTAGACTTGGCGTCTTTAGCATTTCCATCATTAAGTGTTGACATTTGCACAAATGATAATGCTGAAAAGAAAATGTCATTGAGCTGTGCTCCAATTCTGCTTGGCAACAGCAGCTGCACAAAATCAGTGACAATGGTCAAACTTACTATATAACGGCTTAAGCAACAGCCGCTGCACAACTCACAAGTACAGTGTTACCTTGCAATACCGATCACGATGCTGACCAAGTGCACAAATTGAATCAAAGAGCACAATAATATTTGGACACAGTAAATTGTCAGGCAAATTGTTGTTGTCTATCCACTCGATCCCAACAGCAAAGAAGGGAAGCGGAAGAATAGAGGAAAATAAATAGCAATGACCTATGCTCCAAATTTCTGCTTCGCCACAGTAGCTGCAAAAAAAATGCAAAAATGCTTAAACAGTGTTACCTTCCAGTAATGAACACGGTACGTTGGACAAACCGCTAGAGTTGCGCCCAATTATGCACAAACACACTTAATCTTTCTTTTTTTGTAAATATGATTTAAGGGCGGTTCACTTGATTTTTTATTTATATATAAATCAATAATATGTGGCAAAAACTGATTTCTCTATTGCCTTTTGCAGGTTACAGCAACAAATTTAATTGTGGATATTATTATTATCAATTTTCGGAACGAAATACCTGAGTTTTCATTATAAGGTTTTCCAAACATTCCTTGATATTGTCCGAAATCCAAGAGGTGTCAAGATCCAATAACAGATATATAACGCCAGCCAGTAGACGAATGAAACGCAGCTCTTGGGCTTGTGCCGAACCAATATTGTACTTTTTGCAAAGTACTGCAAATCCCACAAATCCTAAACGAAGTACCTGCTCCTAAACGCCGTTTAGGAAAATCTGTTTTACACGTTTTTTGCTTCTTTTTGACTGCAGAGCTCGACAACAACTCCAGCACACTTTATCGGAGAGGCTTGCCGCAGCTAAGATGAGCAACGACAAGGTCAACGCTTAACAGGGCTCTTTACATAAATTAAGAGCCACTGTGCGTGTGAGAAACATCGCTGCATTCTGCACGTTTACATTATTTCTTAATTAGGTTTGAGCTGTTTCAACAACACGACTGATCCAGATATTTTCCTACCGCTTAAGCAATTAGATATATTGTTTAAAATTGCATCTTAATATAAATGACGATTCCCCTCTTTGGTCGCAGTGCATTAGGTATTACCTCGCAATCAAGACGGACAACATCAGTAAGCCCTGGAATTTCAATATTTTCATTTGAGTATGTTGAGGCCTCCCTTGAGGACTGAAACATTAACTTATCTGATCGAATATCTTCAATATGACAGTGAATGCTTTCAGTATTATGAAAGAAAATGTCTACGGCGGAACTGTTAACTAAGGGATCATTATGTGTTTAAAGTAGTTTTCCAGTCCGCAATTTCTCTATCTCATTTTGGACCTTATCGTCATGTTTCGGAGGATTAGGAGGAACAAAATCTCCTATGATAAACAAACCGGAAGCAGTTGTTGCTCTACTACAAGCTACGTTTATTGCAGTACGCTGCATACGAGAGCAAGTGTGAACCACTACTTTGCTATACGTAGCTCCCTGACTTTTGTGAATACTTAAACGTTCTGCAGGTACAACTGGAAACTGCCTGCGGTCAATAGAAACTTGCTAATTTCGAAAATCCAACGGTCACCTACTGGTAATAACTGTCGTAGATCGCCGAAAACTATGACAGAAATACCACCCAACGGAGAAGTATTTTTAAAAATTTGTTTTAAACGGGAGTCCAACTGGGAAAACATTTTAGAGCCTACCATAGATATTTCATCTGTAATAATAAGTTTAAGGTCTATTAACCTCGAATGCAAAGTATTAACTTAATCATTACTTAAAGCCCTCAAATCGGAACCAGATTGAATGACTGGTAAGGAAAACATGGAATGCAGTGTTGAGCCACTGATTTCGAAAGCAGCTTTACCTGTTGGAGCACACAATAGTATTTTAGGAGAATTTGGATCAGTTCTTGACCTGCTATTGTACAAAGATTTAAAAAGGGCTAAAATAAGTCGGCTCTTTCCGACACCAGCACCACCTCCAACAAATTCGTAGCAGACGGCTTTGTTTTTGGCATTGTGCAAAACATATGAAAAGTATGGCAATCCTAATACGCGATATCTTTCGACCACTACTTCTCGATTCCACTGCATTTTCAAGAGCATGCTGAAGCTCACTGTCATCTAAGCTATTATATTTCCTGCGATTGCTCTCGATTAACTCCTGATTCTGGCCGCAAAACGATTATCAGTCTCTTGCTACTAGTTCTACATTTGCATCCCTCCATTCAACATAACCAATTCTCGAGAATAATGGCTCCTATCAGTATTAATATTAAATCTCCTATAACCAATTATAATAAGAGCGCTCCTCTCTTTTAGCTGGGAAGCCCTGGGTATTTCGCTGTCATCAGCATCATCTATATTTTGGCGAGTACCACTATGTCGTTTGCTAAAACTGTAAAAGGCATCAAAATCAGCTAGGCATAAACAATCTAAAGCGTCGGGGCGCTGCCAATTCTTTTGAAATTTCTAACCTATCTTCATTTTTACAGAGTAAAACTAACAGCTCTGACCATCTTGTCTCTGCTGCCGAAAAGGTTATAAAAAAGTTCGGAAGACCAATCTGCCTAATCACCGCCATGACCTTCTTCTTTTCTGCTTCCCAATGAACAGTTTATGTGCGAATACTTTTCAAACCCCTATAGCCATCTTTACGTATTATAATTATTTTTTTCTGTTAATTTTTCTAAATACTCCTCAATCAGGGCTTTTGCTGCCCTAATGCCTTGTGTGGCGCTGTGCTTACGCAAGCAAATGGAAGTACTGTTCCTTATATTAATCATTTCCAATTTTTTATAATTGAGAAGTAATTAATCTGTTCTACAACCTCTCCTATAAAAGTTTCTAAGTTCTGACCTAACTACTGTTGTAAAACTTTCTGGACACTTTCTCTTAATGCCAGCAAAACTAGTTGGGAACGCAAGCTCCTCTGAATTACACTCTTCGATCA